CCCTGTGAGAAGGACATTCGCTGCTGAGGCAAATCTCAGAGGGATCCTGGTGCCTGATCAGAAAGAGCCAAAAAAGGCAGGGAAAGAAGCAAGACCAAGAGAGCACAGGGAAAGGCTTGGTGGTGTAGCAGATTTTCCAAGTAAAACGCTTTTGGATGAGTCTTGGGATGGATAATGAAAGAAATAATGAAAATAATATTTTATTTTTACTGCATTCAGGGAAAAATGGGTTTGTGTAATTTTTATTAACAAACCACATGGCATAAAAGAAGCGATTGTAATTATACTCATTATCCTCTTTTAGCAAAACCAACTGGCAAGAGACCACATTATACTAACTACTGAGGTAGTGGCAAGCATGTCTGAAATGTTAGATCAAAGAGACAAAAACTGGCCTCTGCAGTCAGCTGTTGTATTTTGTAAAGAGGCTTGGACCTGGCTACAAAACAAGTTACTGCTTACACAGGCAGGGCTTTTGACAAATGGTTGAGTTAAGTTCCTGCAAACTAAGAGTATGGTAAACGTGGCCTCCTAAAGTCACTGCTGTGGTCACAACTGGATAAATAAAGAGTGCTTCGGCTCTGTCAGCTGTCAGGCCAGGACATCTCGGTATCGTTATTTTTATGGAAATATTCACTTAAGAGAAAGGAGGGATCTTAGGTTATGGTCATTTTCAGAGAGAGACAAGAGAGTGTATATGCAGAGGCAGGGGACGACACCCAGACAGAGAATCGAATGGCTACTGAGAAGTGTGTGTGTAACACAACATCTTACCTTCCTTACTCCAACAAATCGACAATATCTGGGGTTTTTAACAAGTTGTTCCACAAGCTGAGGAATATGCGAAGCCCAGTCTCCTACAGAGTCACGTCCTCTCCCTGCGGCGCTCTGCAGCTCAGCCCTCTCCCCCTTGCCTTTGCCCAGCACTAACCACAACCCTTCCCCGCGCCCTGCGGCGCCGGGTTCCTCTTCCCCCGCCCCAGCCTCTGCCGGGCACACGCAGATCCATGCTGGGCCCGCTGCTTTCTGCCCCGTCAGAGCTGAGCTCTCCCTGCCTTGGGGAGTTAACGGGGTTTCTCTTCACCTAGCTGGCAACCACATCTCTGAAAGGAACTTCCAATCTTTGAGGCCTTTTATCCTTCGCTCTAATTTGCATGAAGTCACCGAACCACTTCGAAAGCTGCTTATAGAGGACGGAGAGGCTAACGGCGTAATGGCACGTGCCTTACATCCCTAGAAAACAAGGCTAAAAGTAGAAGAACCTGTACTGAGGTGCTGAAGAAAATGACTTACTGACAGCAAAACTTTTGGCAACCACCTGTAAGCTGAACACCCCCCCCCCCAAACTCTGCATATAACCAATTACAGGAGAAACCGAAAACACTCGAGCATTCCTGGAATCAACAGTCGTGGTTGGGGTGAGATAACAGATGTTCCTTCAGCTGTACAGAAACCATCCGAAACTTTGTTCTGAAACGGTCTCGCTGTACCTCAAAATGATTATTCCATAATTGCTGCCTCCTGGCTCTTTCGAGACTTTTTTTTTTTAATGAAGAAAATCCTCGCCGTGAAGGAAAGAAGTTTTAAACTGCTGCCTGCTTGCAGCTTGGGAAGTGCAATAGGAGGATGGAGTCTTTTCTAGCACTGCTGGAAATGCAGCGCCTGGGACTGTCCCAAGTACTGGTAAGGGAGTTTTCTCGAGAGGCCTCAGTTAATGCACTGCTCAAACACCTCGAGGCAAAGCCTTTGGGGTATTGCGCTCTTTGAATTCCCCACGTCTGCTTGTAAGTGGAATAAACTTATTAAAATAGCGGTTCCCTCTCTTCCTGCTAAACGGGCGTTTGAGCCCCACAGCTGCTCTGCAGAGCTCTGGGCAGCCCGTGGTGAGGCCAGCAGGTTTTATCAGCAAGAACCGAAACCCACGTTTTCCAGCTTTCCAGAAGAACCCCTCAGGAAACACGGCACATCTCAACAGAAGTGCAATCTTTGTGACAAATGCGTGACGAGACGCAAATATTGAAGTTAAAAGCTGTACCTTTCCCTAGTTTTTACACCAGTTTTGTATATCTCTGGGAAGCATAACTTCTGGGGGTGGGGGTGGAAATAAACACATAACCACTTATACCACCCTCTGCCTCACAGACATTCAGGTAAGAATCTGTATGTCTATTCTCCACCTCAGTAAAAACAGGAGGCACTGAAAAGCCATGGAAACCTTATACGAAGCACAATTTAAATATAAAATGTGGAAAAATGTACATTGTGTATGTACCAGTTATTTTTTTCTGTCATAAACATTGTGGGAAAGAGACACTTGGGGGGCGGGGGAGGGGAGTTTTGAGCCAAACACAAATGGCGTTTCTAAGTTTCTGCTTCTTTAATAATTAATTCGTTCCCTTTTCCCCTTGAAGAAACACTTTAGTTTATGGTTTGTGAAGACTAAAAGGATTTGCAGACATTGATAGTACTTCCTTTACATTCACACTTAGTTGTTGGGGAATCAGATTGTTTCCTAAATCAGAGAATACCAGAGGAATCCTAAAGCAAGGGGTGTTATATGGTTAACCAGAAAAAAAACACTCCAGACTCTTTCAGTGTGGGGGTCACCTTGTGAAGGAAGGAAAAGAAGAACCAACAGCGCTGAAGAGGTGTCCCTTGTGCCAGGATACCCCACAGAGGTACAGCTAAATTCCCAGGGCCCTGGCCTGAGGGGGAAATTGCACATTTGGTAGGGAAATATGAGACATAAAACCACAGAGAAAATCCTGAACTTGCCAGCCAGTCCTGGGCTCTGGACCCCAGTACATGCTGAAAATAGTCGTATTTATACTGCAGTTCTACTACTTAAATACTGAACAGACCCCCCAGATGTCTGCCATTTATTTGTGTTTATTTCACCTTTAGTTTATTTACTACCAGTAGGCTCTAGGGAACACAGGGGAAGGAGAGGTGCCGTATTTCAGAAAGGGAGCTAAAGTACAGATGCTGAAACGACTTGGCCAGAGCTCCCCCAGTTCTGGGATCCCTCAGGACAGCACCACTGTAGATTGTGTGTCTGGTTTTCACCCCTTACGGCTTGGAGAGGCTTTATTTCTATTTAAATAACTCATTAACAAGCACAAACACTGCGAAGACGTCTACAGCCTGTAATTCTGTTTCTCAGAGTTCTCCAGGTACACCAGGACGGAGCACCCAGCGGCAGCCAGAAGGCCTTTCCTCGGCACAGAGAGTGGATGGGGGCACGGGTGAGAGCTGAGTTTACGGCTTGGTTTGTGGGGGATGTTTTTGCCCCTTAAAAACAAACAAACAAAAAAGCAGCAAAGGAAGCATTTAAATTAAGGTGCAGGAAGAAAAAAAAAAAAAAGCTGAAGTAAATGTATGCTCTTTAAAACTTGCTCTGGTTTATTTTGAAGAAAAACACATTTTAAAAGGTGAGTGGGTTTACTAACGTTATTTCTACGAAAAAAGGCCTTTCACAAACCCCATTAAGGAAACATTCGCAGTTTAATTCCACAGCAATAAGCACAAATCCTGTCGTAACAACTGCTCGTGGTTTTACCACTCGTGTGCTTGCTATCTCGATACCCAAGCGTAGGCCTGCGCTGTGTTAACACATGCTTCTTCGACAAAAGCCAAACTCCCGGTTTCATGGCCAGCGGGGGAGGTTAGATCCAGGATTCCCTGTGCTGGACTGACAAAAGATTTTGTAGAGAAAGAGCGCAGGCTGTGCCATAACGCTAAAGAAAGTGCTGTGAAGCCCAGCCCGCCTTTGCAGTGCGGCTCTCCGGCAGCGCCGCTGGCTGAGGAGAAGGGCCTGGCACCCCGCAGGGTGCCGAGGGCTAAAATCAGCAGGTCAGCCCACCAGCGTTCCCCCCACCCTCAGCTGCCCTCTCACTCGATGCAGCTTTCCCCAAGCGCAGCGTTTGCCTGGACCTTACGGAAAGTTTACAGCTCGATGTGCTACTCATCCTGACAGTTAGGGACCGCAGTGCCTGCCCCTTTCCTCATACAACGGCAATAAAGTGTTAACCAAAGCACTTTTCCTCTCCGCTTGAAGACTTGGCACAAACATTCCCTCAGATAACCAAATTTTTACACAGATTTTTGGTTATTTAATGTGACCTTTACTGACTCCTCCAGGGTTAGAAGGGCTAAAGAGCAATGAAGAAAGCTATCTGGAAACCTAACGTTGCAGTAATTGTCCTTCAAAAACAATCGGGTGGAGGCAAATGTGGCAATCAACAACCTCTGCAGCTGATACAAGTGGTGAGTGAGCAGAATGGTGGGGGGGAAGCGGAGCAAAAAGGTGATGGGCCGCCATCCCTGGCGAACGATGCGAAAATCCTCTGCAAACCGGGTTGTGCAACCCCAGCAGCAGCGAGGCCAGCCCAGGGACAAGAGGTAATGTCATCTCCTCTGGCCAAGCCGACCTGTCACCTGTGATGGAGGCGGTCACAGGCAGTGCCACCTATTTCTTATTTTCAGCTTCATTCGGGAAGGAGGGCAGCTTGTCGGTGGCAGTAGCGTGTTTGGAGCACGTTACCAGACAGCCATAACTGAATAAATGAAAACAAATCAGGCGCAGCGTGAGGCATTCAGGAGAGACGAAAACCCTCCTGAATGTTGAGATGCTCTTACAACAAACTGAAATGCATGAACCAAGCCAAGTGAGCTCTCGTTCCCCGGTGGCAATCTGCAGTAAAGACCAGATGAGCTCACTGCCACTAGCGGGACGCTGGGACCCGGTCCACGGCCTCTGTGCAGGTCTGTTGATACTGTACGGTCTCCACGAAGACGCAGGCAAAGGATGACCTCCAAAAAGATGGCAGTTGCATACTCGGGGGTGTCTGGGTAGATACAAGGCGGCTTGGTCTCTTTGGAAAGACTGTCATTTTTCCCCAGCCGTGCTTAAGAACGCCCAGGTCCAAAATAATCTTTCCTTTCCTCAGCCTGTAGCACCTTATTGAGGTGGGACCAGGGGGCAGGTGAAGGTGGTGTGCTCAGTGGTAGTGCAGCAGCTCCTCCCAGCGAATGGGCTGGGAAAACACCTCCCGCTCCAGCCAGAGTTCGTAGGAGTAGTGGAAGTCCTCGGGGAGCTCCAGCCGCTGGCCCAGCACGCTCTGCAGGCAGTTGTCCACCGGCGCAAACTCCGAGTCTTGAGGTTTGTCGTATCTCCGGCTGTTGAAGGCTTCGATGTTGGCTCTCAGGGTGCATTCTTCAGCCTGGAAATCCCACGGTCTGGCATCGATATCTGCGTTGGAGAAGAAACGGGACCAAAGCGTTGCGGAAAAAATATCTCTGACAAGGTTTGAGCAAAAGAAAGGATGAGGATTTTACAGCAACCACGGCCCTGAACGGACCAGAATATTAGCCAGTCAGTCATTCCTAATTATTTTTCCTAACCAATTCCCATTATGTATGCATTGTAATTTAAGGTATTTAAAGGAAATGTTAAAAATCACACGTAAATTAAGCAGAGTTAGAAAACTTTGTAACGAAACGCCATTATTTCTGCTCTGCAGTGTGCTTTAAGGACTTTCTAGAATATGCCAAGCTCCTGCTTTTTTCAGAAAGGCCCCACCACTTTCACTGAAAATCTCCACAGATGTCTGAAGCGGAGATCGTGACTAAAGGCGTACAGCCAAAACCTGGCAAACTTCTTAGGAGCTAATGAAAACAATTTTTTAAAAAAATTTGGACAAATGTAACTATGAATGCTGTTGAAAAGCCAGTAACTGGCTGTAAGAACCACGATATTTTAAACATGTAATATTACGTAAACGTGTAACATGAAGACACGGCCTTCACGAGCTCTAAATCTGTATGAAATAGTCGCTCGCTCCATAAAGGTTCAGTAAAACCATTGGCAAAGCTCAGCGGTGCTCAAGGGAGGGGAAGGTCCAAGCTGTGCACCAACCCAGATACACCAAGATAAAAATAAACACGCCAGGAAAACCCCTTCCAGCTCCTGTCTCTGAAAGCCAAGCGCTTCCCTGGCAAACTGTCCAGGTCAAGATGCAGTCTCTGCTAAAAGTAGAGAGTTGTGCAGTCGAGTGTTGCATTATGTTGCTGGTTAAGACTTGGGGGGGCAGTGGGACACACACAATTTATCCTTTGCATCTGTCTTAAAATTGCATTATTCTCACTATTGCCACGTGAACTCGGGGTGTCGGCAAACCCTCGCTCCAGGGCAGGGGAGGTAGGTACCCGCCTTCTCCTGCTGTGCTGGAGCACGCAGTGCTCAAGCTACTTAAGTCACCCAAGGCAGGCAGTATCCCGTAGCTGTATCCCATCAGTGCCATATTCAATCCCAGAGGGAACAGTCAGCACGCTGAGAAAGGCAGTGACAGAAATCCCCACGAACGAAAGGAAGTCCCCAGCCTTCCAGCCTTCCTTCTCTTTGGGTTTTGGGGGAGCCCCGCTAGCCCTAAAGTGCAACTAAAAACAGAGTCTGGGTTTTGGTTCTTCTGAATTAGTGGCATCATGACTCCGCTAGCCCTAAAGTGCAACTAAAAACACAGAGTCTGGTTTTTGGTTCTTCTGAATTAGTGGCATCATGACTATCAAAAGCGTACAAGTCTTCAAAAGATAGATTATATCTTTTACAGGTGAAATTAAACACCCCAACGCAATTGTAATGCCTTTCTCCCTTTTAAAGAAGTTGTTAGGCTTTTACTTCTTGCCCTTTTTTCTTTTGAAACAGGAGTGCTACCCAATTTTTCTACTTAATCCTCTTTAGAAAGAAGATACATGCAGAGCAAAAATTTAGGACCATGTTATTAAGGGAAAAAGACATTTTTATACTTTCTCTTCTTGTCCTGAGCTTGGGTCAGTTGTTGCAGCACCTGGGTGTACTTACAAGGGAATAAGAGTACGTGGTCTGATGCATCCCATGGATTAATGTGTGAGGGACACCAGAAACTTCATGACATCCCTCAAAAACCACAGATTTAGGCTACGTAAGAGCTCTTTAAACAGACCGGCCCATCTTGTCTGAGCTTCGGCTTAAATATTCAGAGTATCTGCACTGCCGGCACGTAACCGCCGGTGTTCCTGGGGTGGGAGCTGCAGAGCTGTCAGTCAGATTTTCACTCCGTGGCCATCCTAAGCACACACACTCGGTGCGGATACCAGGACGACCGAGTGGCTTGACGGCCGAGGTGATTTGGGAATGTAAAAGTGCAGGCCTGGGCTTGGTGGAAACTCCCATCTCGGAGAGCCGAGCTGACCGTGTCCCATCCTGATCCAATGAGTCCCACCTTTCCTCACGCAATCCGTTTGTTCCCTCCTGATGGTGCCGAATGGTGCCTCAAAGCTTCTGAAAAAAATAAAAAAAGTCCCCAGTACCGCCCCAAACAAGCTGATGTTTCCTGGCGCCACTCACCGTTGCCGTAAGCCCAGTCATCGTTCATGCGGTGCCGCACCTTCTGGTAAATGGCAGACATGGTTTTCATGTTGCTTTTTCTCCACTGGCGCCCCAGGTATTTGGTCTGGATTTTCAACAGCTTGAGGACGTAGAGCTGCATCATGGCCTGCTTCACCTTCAGCGCTCGCTTCAGTATTGGGGCCGACTTAAAGACTACCAGCATCTGTCAAGACACCAACATAAATGAATGCAACGTGTCCAAGAAAGCCACACAAGTACTGTCTGCACCGCTTGGGGCACCAAAACCTGGGCCCCATACGGTACAAACCCCGGGCAGGTAGAACAGGATTATTCAATATAACCAACGCTTGCTGCAGTGGGCTTGAGGGTCATAGAAATAAGTGTTATTTTCAGAAGAAAAAGTGTTTTCTACATTTAAGGCTCGATCTGTGAAAGAAAAACGGGCAGCTTATGAAACAGCAGAAGCCCCAGCACGGCCAGAGGAAACTCTAGGGCTGAAGCCGCACGCCACACAGCTGGGGACACGCTCGAGGCGCAACGCTGGCAGGCCTCAGGGAGACGGGACATCACCTCACCATCGTCCTCGAGTGTTTCCACTTGGTCAGCTTGTTGAGGATCCTCAGCAAGTTAATGCAGGAGAATAAATTCCTCCAGCAGAACTGGTTGTTGTCTCCGGCCTCCTGCAAAGCAGAGAAGGCAAAGCCCTAACTGCAGCACTCCACAGCGCCGCCCCAGAGATATCCTTGCGCAGAAAGTCTTTATTTTTACTGTCTGCACAAGTCTTATTTCTGAGGGACAGCGAGCAGCGGAGCTGCCTCCTCACTTGGGTTGTCATCATCCTGCTGACAAGCCAACAGATTCTGGGCAAAACCGTTCTGAAAGACTCAGATGCAATCAGTGTTTTAATTTGCATTTAGGCTTAGAGTAAGAGCTAAGATAAATCACGCTGTTCCGTCATGGGAAATACATAGCGTGGTAGATTTGTATTCTAGAAGCCAGAGAGCAAATTATGGCCTAGCGATCCCCACTGCTTACAGAACAGTTTTTGCTAATTATATAAATTAATTCATAAATTACCACATGCTTAGAGGACGTATTACAGACAAACAAAAGGAAGTCGCATAACAACGCAGGATAAGGAACAGCAGCATTTGTATCAGGAGGACAAGACTTCTCTGTAACAAAGATCCCCTCCAGCTTAAGTGCAGCTGATACATTATTTTAAATATTAGCTAAATGTAAGCAGTAAGCACCCCCAGCTCCAGCTTCTGTAAATATTGCCTGTGGTACATTTGAGCAGCAATTCCAACACTACAGCAAGTTGCTCTATATTTGAACAGACTGAGCACAGCCCAAGTGCCCCACAAATAACCTGTTTGGGGACGAGAGTGGAAACGAGTGCTGCTTAATTTATAAACCACTTAGAGCAAGCTACAGCCTGAACAACTCACGGCCAAAACAGCCGCCTGGTGCCTGATCCAGGCTCTGGGAATCCTCGGGAGGAGTCTGGGGGCGACCCCAGGGAGCCCCTTCTGTCAGAGTGTCTAATCCAGCTCCAACACTAGATTTACCCAAGAAAATCCCACCAACAGAATAGTTTTGTTCCTAAAAGCAAGCACCAAACCTATCGCTTCAGTAAGCTGGTAAAATGCTCTTGTACGTGTAATTGTTAGAGGCCAGCAAGAAAGTGCTTCCGATTTACTGTCTTTAATTCTGGGATTTGGTAAAAGCCACTCCGAGCAAACGCACTTTTCTGGCTGTGCTGGAGGCCCCTGAGCATGCCCGGGAGGCAGGATGGCACCGGCGTGTCACCGCGGGGTCACCGAGGCACTAGTGGAGGCCGGGCACAGCCCTGGGGGTGCCGGCCCAGCAGCAGCGCCCGTGTGGCTTCATCTCAGCGCCCGGTCCCAGTCTGCTCCCTCTGCACCAAGCTGTTTTCCCAAAAAAAGACCCCCGAGGAGACCAAGCGAATGCCCATCTCACGGGCAGCTGGGTTTAGTTTTGTCACCAACCTGATGTCGTCTCTAGAGGGTCAAGTAAACGAGAGTCTTTCCACCAGGTTGATGGCAGGAGGGAACAGGCTTCAACCCCCTCTTTACCCCCATCTCCTGTTACCCTCCCCCACCCTCTGCGGCCCCCTCCCCAAACACGGGGAGCTGGAGGGGAGCGACAGCCCCGCAACAGGAGAGGGGAGAGGGGGACCGGCGAGGAATCAAAGAGCCTGTCCCGCAACAGGGCGGGTGAAGCCCCCGCTACCTCCCCGGGACCGTAGCTCACTCCTGATTTAATTTACACCGTGCGGGGGCAGCAGTTACCCCACAGCCAAAGGGTCCCTCCTCTGAAGACAGCACTGCTGAGCTCGTCCTGGTTTCCCATGGAAGTAACCCAAACACACACGATCCCTCGTTCAACCCTCTGAAGACAGAATCATCTGTCACATCCGCTGAGAAATGTGTCACGGCTGAGATGTTAAAATCAGTGCCTCAGAGTATTAAAAAAAAAAAGCTAAAATAATGCCTAAAATGTTGGCTGAAGAAACATAAATACGTGCACAAGCGCCTGCCTCAAGTACCAGGGCGTGTTTAACTTCCATTAAATCCTGAAATCCACGGGTACCCTCCCAGAAACGAACACACATGGTAAAATTCAAGTTGGTTTCTGTGCATTTTCTAATGAAACCAGTCTCCCGCGAGGCTAACAGCCATGTCTGCTGGAGGAAAGCGATGAGGCGCTGTCGCTTAAGGCATCAGCTCCCAAACTGGGGCCCAGACCCTACTGGAAAAGGGTAGCTGGGAATGTTTTCCCTAAAAAAAAAAAAAACAGTCTTCTCCTATAGCCATAAAGCTTAGCGCTAAGGGTTAGCGTGAGCCACCGGAGTGCTCAGCGACGTGTCACTAGATGTCCCCATCGGGCCAGAATTCGTTGGTGGCAGCCTGGCCAGGACACCCAGCCTTCGGCAAGTAGCCCATGGACCACCACAAAATCCCGTGGATAAGGAGGGAGGTGAGGTCCAGGAGCTGTTACCCTGAGCAGGCACCCAAAAGGAGGCAAGAAGCTGGTGGAAAGAGGACGTGGGACAACGGTGGAGGACCCAGCCGGTGCGCCGGCCACGCGTGGCGATCCCACACCCACCCGCACGTGCTCCACACCAGGTTTTTATATAAATTTGATCTGGCATAATCCACTCATGGCAGGAATTTGCATCGCAGTGGCGCAGCAGAAATGCTGTGGCTAAAGATCCAATTAAAACCAGTTTGGGCTGTCCTGGCTGGCCACAGCCTTGGTAGGATTCATGAAGCAACTTCGGCTCACAGAAACTAGGGAAAATCTTTCACTTTACGGATTTTAACGTTTACAGAAAGAACATTGGCTTAAGATTTTAGCAGCCAGGCAACGTGAGATCGTCCCTGCCTGGACTGGTTTTGGTCAGGCTCTTTCTTAGCGATTCCTCCATCGTTCAGGGTCTCCCTTCCCTCTGATCCCCCTCCCTCGTAACCCCAAAGCTTGGCCCTGCTCTGCGCCCTGTCCAAGTCCAACCTACTCTGCATTTGAATGATTGCAGTTACGAACTTGCCAGCATTAATGTCTCATCTCTCATCCGCATATTCCCACAGCCCATCGCGCTGGCCGGTCTCCATAATACTCAGGCTCCTCTCTGTAGGGAATTTCCTTCATTCCTTCACCTACTGGTATCTTAGGAAATGTGAGTGCTCAGAGCAATTTAAACCTGGGAGGCAACAGCCTCTGGGCAAATCCTTTTCTCAAAGCAGGCAAAAGGGAAAACTCTAAACCCAAGTATTTTTATGGGGTGCACAACGCTAGCAGCGCCTCCCCCCCACCTCCCCATGGCTGACAGCAAGTCAGAAGAGCGACGGGAGAAATTTTCGAGTCTGGAGGGGGAAAAAAATTAAAAAAAAAGTCTAATTTTGGAAAGGTTGGGGGGTAAAAAGAAGACAAAAAAAAAAAAAGGAAACCAAAATCCTTCCTCACCCTCTCGCATACAGCAATACTGGTTACCAGGACCCTTTCTGTGGTGCTTACCAGGCTTTCTGCAGTGAGCTCGGGCAGATCATAGACTGTACAGTGCGGATAATCCAGGACGGAGATGCTGTGGAAGACAGGAAAGAAGGGACTCGTTAAAAACCAAGTAAATATGAAAGCAACGTTTTAAGATGGTCTGTGTGATTACGCCCAGCAATCTGCACCGTCTTCCTTCCCTGCACCTGGGTTTGAATTGCAATGGCAGCGCTCGGAGGATTCGGATCCATTAAGACATGACAGATTAGGTATTCATAGGCATATTTTAAAAAAGGAAAAAAAAAACAACAACCCAACACAAAACGGATCTTAGGTTAAAATGGAGACATCTGATTACCAGCAAGAAAATTCACAACAAGGGCATCAGGTCTCTCGAAGCCCTCCTTTGTAAAAGTAGCAAATTTAAAAAAATAATTATACATATATATAGATCAACATATATATATATAAATACATTTTTAATGTATATATATATAAAATGTATGTATAAATACATACACAGACACAGATGCCCTGAGATGTGCAGCAATCTAAAACGAAGCGTGCACTATCACACAGTTTCACTTCTTGTTCGCTATTTTTTGTTTTCACATTCAGCAGCTGAGCAGCAAGTTGACTCGTGACGATCACCGAGTCAGAGGCAATCCAGGATGAGGACCCAAGGTCGGGAGATGCCCTAAAACTGGCTTCATTTAGAGTTTGGCCGAGAAAGGGCTTGTCTGACCACAAGGACAGATGCTCCTCGCTGGCTCCTACCCACCACAGCCCTGAAACTGGAAACGCTGTGCAGATACAAGCAGGAGAGCTCGGAGGGAGCGAGCTCGGGACCAGGAGCCCCACGGCTCGTTTGCCACGAGTCGTCATCGTCCTGACATCCCTTCTGATATTTCCCGTGGCAGCATTGCTGGACCCAGGGCCGTACACGTGAACGTGACAAAATCCTGCGATCCTTTTTGCTTTGTTGTTCGCTGCCATCTGACAAACCGGTGCTCTGGGCTGGGCAGAACAGCCAAACCTCCCTGGAGCAGAGTATCCAGCTGCAAACCTCGTTTCACAGAAGCACGTCCTGCCTGTGAAACCTCCATCAGAAGGCAGAGGAGGGAGCTAAGTGCTCCTGGGCTACATTTCCTCCTCACTTATGTGAAAGCACAGGACCAGAAGTGGGAATGTTTATCAGCAAGAGAATTAACATACTACTTTCTGCTTTTCCACGCGCGCCTTCGCACACACACACAACCATACCATGCAGAACACAGACCAGCCTACCCACGCAGCTGAAAAGCGACAAAAAGAGCATCAAAAAGCAAGAAAAAGGACCTTTTCGCCATTCCAATGGCAACATTCCCTGCGGCACTCCCCTCCGAGCGGGGAAATCCTACGTGGAGTTGTGAAAGAGTTGTGCTCTTTCGGTTCTGACTTGCGGCAGTCCAGCCAGGCCCTACACAGACTCAAAACAGGGCTAGTGTCTCTCTCAAATCGGAATTAAGAGGCTTTGACAACTATGAAAACCCTGAAGAAGTCAGGAAAGCTGAATGACAGTTATAGCAAGTGGAAAGGACCCAGAAGACTCTGCCCCATTTAGCCTGTTTGAAGCTGTGGCCCACAGATGCCCGATGGCACTGGACTGCTCTCCAGGAGTCCGCGTAAAGACAAAACCAAGCCTACCATCAGCAAGGGAGGTGGGTCTACGGGTATTTTAGTAGTCCAGTGAGAGACTGGAAAGCCCCCATCCAGTCCTCCTCATTAAGCAGAATGGGATTTGCTCCCCTCCAGCGTATTCCTGTACGGAGAGCATACTGCCCCAAAGCCGTGCTAGGGACCAGAGGTCACTTGGTCCCACCACCCATTCACGTGTTAGGGTTCCTCATGCACAAAGCCTCCCTGCTGCATCACCTCTCTCTTCCCCAGAAGTGGCTGTACCTGTTTTTGGCAGTGATATAAGACATGATGTTTTGGTTGAAGAACTTCAGGATCAGCGGGATGCAGTTGGCAAACACCAAATGCTGGGACACGTACTCAAACTGAGGAAGAGAAGTGAAATGGGTCAACAACGTTAGCCGGAACAACTGGGAGCATCCTCTGGGAATGGAAACCCATTTCCAGCCGACAGCAAAGTGGTCCTGATGGTTTGCTCTAGGCACCTTGCAGACCATCTCCCCCTTGCAGAAGTCTGCTGTATGAGGGCTCGCGCCACATACAGCAACTCCCACCCGCTGGAAAACTCTACTTGCCGTAAAGTGGACACACCAGCTTTATGGCAGTAGTTCAGGAATAGCTGCACCTCGTGACTGCAGTGCAGCTTTTCAGGATAAAAATCCGTGGCAAAATACGTGGGGAAGAGGGAAGGAGGAGGCGTAGCTATTACATGAGAAAACACAATGATTCCTGTTGCTGTCACACCCCAGTCCCTTTTCAAATTTCAACTGAAAAAAGTACCCTTACCTTCATACGTGCTTTTAATTTCTCTCCCCCTCTACACATTAAAAGGTCTGGCCGCGTAACACAGCAAATCTCTACTGTCCTCAGAAGAGGCAGGCACAAAGAGCAGCAATATCCCACCCTATCCTACCCACGCCTCTCACAAACCTGCAGCAATCACCACCCCAAACCGAGAGCTGAAGAAACAGTTTGCTCCTGCACGCCTCATCTCAGCCTGGTACAAGCTGTCGACCCTCGGCACGCCACCGGTGACACGCCGTTGTACTTGGCAGTGCCCGCTGGCCGGGGTCTGAGATGCTCTCGCTGCTTTGAAATGCAGCTGCTCGTGACCAGCACGTTATATAGGAGCTGACCTGCTATAATTTGATGGTGTTTCTCTCTTGGCATAAGAAACACCAAATCTCAACAGAACCGAGGCCAAAAACCCCCCATGGATCTGCGTGGCGGTGAAGGTCCGTGCGGCTCCTGCCGCACCGAGGCACCTGGCGAGCGCAGGGTGACCCCCGGCAGAGCCTGGACCAGCCATGCTCTCTGTTACCTTCCGCTGCTTTCTGGAAGCGTCATCTCAGCCCCTGTCGTGTCTTTTGGCGGGCTCCCCGAGACCAGCTTTGGCACCGAAAGGAATGGCGATGGCTCGCCCAAAATCAGACACGCGAGCAGAATCAGGGGGAGAAAACCCCACAGCTTTCGCCAGACCTAGCACCAGGTCCTCCTGCCACAGAGGAAAAAATGAGAGGAGCTCTTTTGGGGGTGAAGCAAGAAAAATTAGTGAAGGGATGTGGGGGACCCAGAACAAACGTCGGATTGTAAAAATGCGGGGTTTTGTTTCATTTTATCCAATCCAATACATGGATTTATATTTATCCTCAGATAAATATCAGTGGGTTTCATAACACAGATGGATTTGTACCACGCTGAAACCTCTAAAAGAAAAAAAAAGTTGCAAAACACTAATTGTTTGACTTGCAGAACGGGTGGAGAACTGGGCCCAGGTCACAGCTGAAGTCCGACCTGGGTGTTCTATTTAATCAAGGAAAGGCCAGTTCGATGGGTGCCACGCAGATGAAACAAAACTCGGATTGCATCTAGGACCCAGACCTCCAGGCTCTGTTGAAACTGGAGCCCCAAGAACTTGATCCTGCCAAGGGACAGAGGATTAGATTAGCTGACCTCGTGAGGTCCTACCCAGCCTTATTTCTGGTCACTGGAGAGGACAGAGAGCTAACGAGGGTCTTGTCTAACCCCCATCCCCTTCCCTCTTCTGCCAGGGGAGGCTCTTGCTCATCCTATCTCCTCAATTTTAACCTGAGCAGCCACAGAGTGAATTTGTCCAGAAGTCTGAAAACTCTTTCCACACGAGTGGAAACGATCCCGTCAAAACACAGTCGGAGACATATTGCAGGCAGGTTATCCCTGCCTGAGTGACCTCGTACAAATCCTGCCCCGGGGCTAGGGTTCCTCGCTATGGAAAGCTCCTCATGGAAACTCTTCCTGGAGAGGTCTTTCAGGAGAGGGTCTATCAGGACATGCTGGCTTCAAGACCAGCTTGGCAATGGCCGACACCTTCTCTACGTTCACCTGGTAGATGTGGTTCAGCTTGAAGTGCTTGAGGAGCAGCAGCAGCGAAGCCGAGATGCTCTTCACAATGATCTCTTTGTGCCTGTTCACGTCAATCCCTAGTTTCATGCTCTGAAGAACGGTGATTCTGGGTTGGAGGGAGAGAAGGCAACAGCACGGTGGGTGTGGGAGCAAGGAGGACTAAGGGACTGCCAAGTTCTTACTCATCTGGATGGGCTCTACAGAAACAGAGACCTTTGCTTCCCTCTGGGACTCCCATTTTCCATCCTCTCCTGCCTGGTGACACCAAAGTGCATTAAAAATAAGGGAAAAAGCTGATTGCCCTCTACCAGCAGTCCCGAGAAGGACACCTGCCATACGCTCACATATCTTTATGATTTGTGCCACTTTAGGCAGCAGAGCGCAACGGCTGCCGACTGTGCTGGAATTATGATCCTGAAAATTCAGCATCACTTCCTCGGCTTTCACCCCTCTGCCCTGGTGGCAGCAGTAGCTTGCACCTATCCAAAGAGACATCCCCCAAATCTGGAGCCCCCTGAACCTATTGGCAAACCCCAACTCTCCTGCTCAGCCCAAGACTTTGTGACAAAGCTAGGACGGCTGATGGCCACCTCCTGGAGGACTTACGGCATCTCTTCAGGCAACACGTCTGCCAGGATGTTGATGGAGTCGGTCTTGGCTTTGGAGGTGGGCGCTGCAGCAAGGAGGATCTTCAGCAAAGCTATCTGCAGAAGAGGGCTGGTGTGGAGGGATGGTCCTAGGAAGGGGCATTCCTTCCTTCCTTCCCCTTTTCTTGCTGAAACCGGACAACTTCAAGCCAACTCTTTAAGGTTTCACCAGCCCAAGCTCTGCCCACTATGATGGACTACCTATGCCAAGGCTCAACCTCTCCTTTCATACCCCGGACAGACAGGCTGAGCGTGGGGAGCTCAGCAGCTCTGGTTTAGCCTTAACTTCAGGCACCTGCGCATTAGTAGTGTGGATAAAATAACGCGAGGGACACCTGGAGCTTAATGAATTTAAATCTGTGCCTGTCTCTCCCTGGGAACAGAGTGCACGTGACCCAATTAGCACCTTGGAATCACAAAATGGTTTGGGTTGGAAGGGATGTTAAAAAAATCATCCAGTTCCACCCCCCGTGCTGTGGGCAGGGACACCTTCTGCTAGACCAGGTTGCTCAAGGCTTTATCCAACCTGGCAACGTAGCTGAATTTCAGGAGACTCATTGGATTCCTCCGGGAATCTCTTGGGGCCATGGGAAGGCTGGAAGGGATGTCCCTGTAAGGAAGGTCATAACCTAGAGACCGTCCACAGTTTGAATAGCCCTTAAGAGCACAGCCAGGTTGGTAGGAGACCCAAAGGCGTTTCCACCTTGTTTGCTGAGCCGCGTAAAGCATGATGATGGTTTAGTGTGGTTCCTGGCCCAGCAAGCCATCACGCTTGGAGATCATAGTAATGAAAAGTGAATCTCAGCAAGAAGGACAAAGGCTCAAGGGACCAGTGAAGTCCACAGGTTGCTTCTCAAGGTCAGAAGTAAAGGTGCCTGCATCCCCTTGTTGGTTGCTCATGCAGCTCCAGAGGTGACACGGGGCCATCCCTGACTGGTTCCCCTCAGTACCCAGAGGGCAGAGGCCATTTGGAGCTCCCACCAATGTGAACAACCTTGTTCTTTGCTCCCAATCCTCTGCACACATCTCATTTTCCAACCACTGACCTGACTCCAACCATTTGGCCATGTGCCTCGGTATCTACATCCCTTGATCCTCTGAATCCCTCCTCTTGGACTGTACTTTCCACCCAACTCTGCTCTGGATTCCCACCAAAATCTCACCGTTCAAGTCCTGAACACACCCCAGCAGCCCCGTGCTGAGCTCTGCAGCTACAGATCGGCACATTCCCCACTCAAAAGCTCTTCTCTACTTTTAAGAAACGGACTTACCATATACTGGGGGAGATTGTACAACATTGCTCGATACAAGATCTCACAAGGGGTTTCTTGGACTTCCTCTTCCCCCTAGCGCAGAGGAACATTAGAAATAAGGCAAAATTAAGTATTTCGAATCCACACCTCCATAAAACCCAGCTTGAGGACATAGCTGCATGCTGACTGCAGGAAGCTCCAGGCCTTTCTCCACTGCTACATTTGATCAAGATATGGCCTTCTAGAAAAAAAGAGCATCCAAGGTGTGTCCTCAGGATCACGGAGAACATATGGATTTCTGTGACACCTTGGAAATCTTACACCTATCTAGTGATGGGGAGCAGCAGCTTCTTACCAGAGACATGGGGCACTTCTCCAGCTCCTCCTCGTTCTTGATCTGGACATCTGAGATGGAAACGTACTTGTGCTGGTGAAATACACAGACAGAGGCAGAGCAATATCACAACAGAATGATGAAAGAGTTGCTGATTTCAGTGATATCCAAGTTAGATGTGTAGGTCACAGCAGATACACGGAGAACTCCTTTTTGTGTGGGACGTCCCTCTGTCCCTGAAGCCCCTCACACGTCATGCCTTTGATTCCTTCCACCTACTCCTTTTAGGATCTCTCCATAAGTAAATGGAGAGGGACAATCGCCCCCAAAAGGCAATCCAGACCTTAGACAGGGTCAGTTGGCCTCTGGAGGTGTCTCACTCCACGTGGAGCACTAGAGGAGCCAAAGCTGGCCGTGCTTCCCCTGGGAACAGCACAGATCTGGGCATGTTATGTCCAAACCCAGCTCTGGGAGCCTGTCACCTTCAAAGCACAATGTGCCAAATGCTCGCCAGGACACAGCAATGTAAGGCCTCGGATAAAGGGAAGGTCCAAGTGCCAGACAATCTACTTGGAATTGCAGCAAGGACTCAGTTTTCCATTTTTGGCCCCAATTCCTGTAAGAAGCTCCAGAAACTTGTACTGTGACAACTAACAAGAAGGGACCCTCTTACTCCCTCCAGTAACTGTTTCAGCTGGAGGTTAGCCGTGAGGATCCCACACTACACGTGGTGGATATCCAGCCCCTTTCAAGCTGTTCAGACCTTGACTGGATTTATCAGATCGACTTCCCAAGGCAGAGAGAGCAAGAGCTCAGACCGAACGTGTTGCTGAACATCAGCTGCAGAGGAGCAGAAGACTAAACTCACCTGAAACATCTACTGTGGGCTGAGAGCATACATCTGAGGAACCTGAAACTTGTTGTTCAGTGGTGTATCACAAAGTTTATGTGTATGATACTTCATGCCCTACAATCCCCCTACAGCCGTGGTGACCTTGGCCAATGATTCCCCCACCCCCATGAGTTCCCCACGGGTCTGCGCCCACCTCAGAGCATCTGCTGAGTGCCAGGGAGCAAAACCAGCAAGGAATGAGGTTAGACAGCCGCTCAGCGAGGCTTTCTGGGCTGCTTCACCCAAGTGCTGTGCATGGAGCCACCATCTCACCTGCTTCAGCGTCTTCACACTTTCATGGATGGGCCGTGGCAGCCCTATCAGGGTTTCGGTGTCTCTGTGGGGATGAAAGAAGGTTAAGTGTGAGGCTGTGAAGATCTGGGTTTAACACCTGCATGTCACACAAAGTAAAAGCCCTGTAGTTTACTGGATCTACTGGGCGCATCCCAGATGGGTCAGGAATTGGGAGAGGTGCTGGCGTGAGCTGCCCGCTCGCCCCCCTCCTCCCCAGCAAAGCCCGCACAAAGGAGAGGTGACACCGAGGCAAAGAACTGGGCTGAAATCAGGCCTCTGCGTGGAGCCAGCTTAAGCCCAGCACGGCACCTAAAAACAAATATACCAGGGTGACTCTGCACCCACAGCTTGATTTATTCACCAACTGGGTAATTTGCTGTGGATACCTGATTGTCTCGATTCCTTCCTGCATCAAACCAGTCTCTGGCTTGGGCCAGGGGGTCACTGATTCCGGGCTAGGTCTGGTTTTTAATAGAAAGAGGTCCTTGGAGACCAGCATCTCCAAGAACAGGTTTTTATAACGCTGAGTGCGCTGCTGCAGCCCCAGCGAAATCCAGCGCTGCACCGCATCATCCCCAGCACGCCTTAGGCTGGTGTCGCTCAGAAAACCTGAGCTCTGTGGACACCTCCCACCAGTTAAACCGCACTGATGGGAGCTACGGGACAGACTTTGTCGGGCCCGCGCGCGTAACACTCACTGTCCCAGCGTGAATCCGATGAATTTGTTCCTGCTTGCTTCCAGGAAATGCTCGATGTCTTTCTGTCTGATGGGGCAGCGGAGAAAGAGAAACAAGGAGAAGGTTGGAAAACGGGCATGTGCCAGATCACAGCCTGCATTGCTCAGAAAGGACAGCGGCGTGGGACCAGCGAGAACCTCCGAGCTTTCTAGGATTGGTTTCTAGACATCTTAACAGCAACAGGCTAGAGCCACCATTGCTCTCATTGAGCCACGAGAACCAAAACCATCTGTATTTGCTGTGCAGCTCCACGGGAGCGTGAAAATAAATGGAGCTCTCTACGACCAGCACCTTTTTATCCTCCTTCTGTGCTCGCCAGCACATGCACCTCCAAGTAGCATCTGCTCGCTCTGAGCGAACAAATGTTGTCTCCACAGTCTGGCGGAGCGCGTGCTGCTTCAAGAGAGCAAGCTGACATCTTGTCCACCTTGGGCATCTTTCATGAGAACTGGTCAGGGTCTCAGCACTACAAGTAGGACAAGAACCGTGAGCCAAGGCTCTCGCAGGCAGAAAGAAACCCAGCTGGATTTCCAGGCGCCAGCCAAGAAAAACAATCCTCATTTGATTTCGAAGGTGAGAGCATTACGTTACGTGGAGACCCACGTGGGAAACGAGTTCTTGCCCTGTCCGTGCCTGGATAGACACCCTTAACCCTGTCACTGCTCCCACATCAAAAAGAGGTATTTGCTCCCGTGTTTTAAAGGTAACGGATTAAATCCAGGCTTTGGATCAAGAGCAAAATACCTCACATGGATTAGAGGGAAAGGGGCAGAGGTTTTCACCCTCTTTTCCTGATGCTCCCCCATATCACGTGTAGCAGAACTGGTCTTAGGAAGGGAAGGCTCCAAATTCTTTATCCTCAGATGTTTTACTACAATTTCTTGCCTTAGAGCGAGGCCACTCAAGAAGGCTTCATCTGGCCACTCAAGAGTCCCTCTCAACAAGCAAGAGGCAATGATGTCATTAACCAGTTCCCAAGGTGACTAGTCGAGGACCCTGCCCTACTGAGATCCACTGGTGCCGGCTGGGAAAGCTGACCCTGCTCCCACCGGGCTCCAGTACAACCTGGGATGTCCAAAATGGGATTGCCACTTATTGGCCAAGCTTGGCCACGCTGGGTTTGTAAAGCCTGGGGAAGGGCTCAGCTAAACCCAGCCCAGAAAGGACCAACTGAGCCAAAAAAAACCCCTGGAGTCACTTCAGCTCAACTTGCCAGAGGCCAAAAAACTTGCCGCTGACTGACGTTCAGCCTGCAGTGAACTCCACGACAGGTAGGACTGGGGAGAACGGCGATGCCACCAGACGGTTTTACCTGACTTTGGGGGCCCAGGGGAGCCCTTTGGGGAACGACACCCTTTCGATAGGCGGGCGCTGAGCAGGCAGCGCAGGCATAATCGCGTCCCGCTCCATCAGGTCCAGTTCCCCCTCGATCCCGCTGTCCACGTCATCGTTCTCCTCTTCGTCGACTCCCGCTTCGTCGTTCTTGAAGGGGTCTCTCTCGTTGTAGATATCCAAACTGTCTTGCTTCATCAGGGGCTGCAGCAGAAGAGGAAGGAGAAATTCAAGTCTCTCTGTGGATTTGATTTCCCTCCCAGCTGCTGGCACCAGACCTCTCCATCCTGGAAGGATCAAGCTCCTAGATGTTCCTCAGGCAAGGATTTCCCTCCTGGCTGTTGCCACCAAAGCCTGGACAAGGAATAACTCCCTCTGTACCTCTAACCTGGCTGTTCTAGGAGATGTGACCCCATTTTCCCTCTTAACTTTTGCAGCTGCCATCTGACATCTCTCCCCTAGCAAAAGAGGCGTTTTCATCCTCGGACCATAACACAGCAACTCCAAGAGCGGAGCTAAAAATAGACGAGCTTGCTGTAAGCAGTTTGCTCCTCAGTGCTTATCAGCCCTTTGCCACAGGGTCAGGATGTCCTCTCGCTTCCTCCGGATCAAGCGCATCGCGGGCCTGACCTGCTGCGACTGAAACTGGTGGATGGAAAGCTGGACATGAGCCAGCACTGTGTGCTCCCAGCCCAGAAGGCCAGCTGTAGCCTGGGCTGCACCCAGAGCAGCGCGGGCAGCAGGGCGAGGGAGGGGATTCTGCCCCTCTGCTCTGCTCCGGTGAGACCCCCCCTGCAGGGCTGTGTCCAGCTCTGGGGCCCCAGAAAGACATGGACCTGCTCCAGTGGGTCCAGAGGAGGCCACGAAGATGCTCAGGGGCTGGAGCAGCTCCCTGTGAGGACAGGCTGGGAGAGTTGGGGGTGTTCAGCCTGGAGAAGAGAAGGCTCTGGGGAGACCTTAGAGCGGCCTTCAGTGCTGAAAGGGGGGTACAGGAGAGGTGGGGAGGGACTCTGGATCAGGGAGGGGAGTGATAGGACGAGGGGTAATGGTTTTAAACTAAAAGAAGGTAGATTTAGACTAGATATAAAGGAGAAATTTTGTATGCTGAGGGTGGTGGAACACTGGCCCAGGCTGCCCAGAGAGGTGGTCCATGCCCCATCCCTGGAAACATTCCAGGTCAGGTTGGACGGGGCTGTGAGCAACCTCATCCAGCTGAAGGTGTCCCTGCTGGCTGCAGGGGGTTGGACTAGATGGCCTCTGAACGTCCCTTCCAACCCAAACCATGCTGTGATTCCATGAAACTGGAAAATTCACGAGTGCTTCGTGAGGAAGGGAAATACCCTCCTGAGCACAGGCCGGCTCCTTGAACGGATGATGCTCCCCATTGGAAAAGCATCCTGGACCCTGGGCCAAGAGGATGAGCCCACTCTTACCCTCCGGCTGCGGTGACCACGCTTCTGCTGCTGCTGCTCCACGAGCTCGATGGAGTAGGTGGGAGGCGAAGCGGCGCGCATGCTGCGCATCACCTGGATGCTGTCCTCCGGCAAGGGCGGCAGCCCCAGCTCCTCCCTCTTCCTCACCTTCATCGCCTGCAGGGCTTCAAATCCACCCAGCGTAAACTAGGGACCAACAAGAGAGCCGAGAAAGCAGGGAGCAGGCTTTCCACCTGGACAGCATGGCTCTTCTGGGCTTCCAGGGGAGCAGCAGTTTGAGGCCATCAAACTGGAGAAGACACCACGTCGCTGGTTCGCTCTCCAGCCTTCTCCCCCACCCCACAGCCTCTGCATGGCTCAGCCCACCCTTGTCCCACAAGGAATTGTTTGCCTTGTGTTGGCTTCCCGTGCCATCCTAAAGAACCTCGTTATGGGTTGAATAGTGGGGAACATCCAGGCTGCATCAGCACTATTCCCAAAACGACTGGTGCCTGGAAAAAGGAAGGGTTTGCACCTACCAGGAGCACCTTCCAGAGCAGGAGCAGGACCTTCTTCATGGGGAAGTGTGGAGCGTGGCCACTGCAGAACTTGGTCACCATCGTGAAGAGCAGAAGAGCAAACGGCTCGTCAGTGTGCACAGGGAAACCTGGATGGAGAGAGGGACCAGGAGCAGGTTCAGAGCAGATCCCCCAACCCTGAGGTCTCCCCACTGGCCCAGCATGACGGAGGGACCTTGTTAAGGGCACAATGAACTTTATGGCTCACTCAGCTCCGTCCTGAAGGTCTCCCGGCAGGTTTTCCACTCGGGGGGATCCGCCTCCTGCTCCACACGGATGTTCTCCACCATCAGGTACATGACACTGAGCAGCACCCTGCCAGGACAGCACGGCAAGCAGGTGACCCCGCCACTTTGTCCCCAGAAGAGTGTCCCACAGCCTCCACCCAATGTGCTAGTGGGGGGCTGAGAGGGCGTACCTGAGCTCCGTGCTGTCGGCCAGCGAGATGGCCGGCTTCCTCAGGGCGCTGCTGCAGGCCTGGCTGTTGCTGCGGGGAAGGGGACGAGCTCAGCGCCAGCCACGGGGCAGGGGCTGCTCCTCGTCCCGACCCCCAGTCTGCAGTGGTGGAAACACCGCGCTGGGGGATGTGCCATGGCTGCGGCACCTCCCTGGTCCTCAGTGAGGAGGAGGAGGAAGGAGAAAGAAGAGGGTGAGGAGGATGGGGAGATAGAAGATGGAGAAGGGTGAGGAGGATGGGGAGAAAGAAGATGGAGAAGGGTGAGGAGAATGGAAGAAGAGAGTGAGGAGGATGGGGAGAAAGAAGATGGAGAAGAGAAGGGCTAGGAGGATGGAAGAAGAGGGTGAGGAGCATGGGGAGAAAGAAGATGAAGAGAAGGGTGAGAAGGATGGAAGAAGAGGGTGAGGAGGATGGGGAGAAACAAGATGAAGAAAAGAAGGGTGAGGAGGATGGAAGAAGAGGGTGAGGAGGATGGGGAGAAAGAAAATGAAGAAGAGAAGGGTGAAGAGGATGGGGAGAAATAATAAGATGAAGAAAAGCAAGAAGAGGGTGAGGGCAGTGGAGGTCCTCTCACTCAATCTCCATGTTGAGGAGCTCCAGGAAGGCGGTGAACGTTCCCAGCCGGTACAGGAGGAAGCTGTTGTGCCGAGACCAGTGCAAGACATCACCTTCATTATCGCAGTCTCCGAAGACACCTGGAGAGCCCCAGAGGGAGGCACTGGTTAGGGGGGAGCTGCCTTTGAAGCCCCGGAGCACACGGGACCATCCTGGGAAGGAGCTTCACGGCACTGACCTGGCACAACCCCAAGAGCAGGCTTCTCCCAAGCCCCCGCGCTGAAGCCAGGCAGCAGATATGCGGCCGCATCCAGACACGGGGGACGTGGTCCTTACCCTGTGCCAGGTAGAGGATGGCCCGTGCTACTTGGAGCCGCTTGTCCCTGTTGACCACCTCCAGCCCATCCAGCAGGCGCATGACGTAGGCCTTCTGCTGAGCCCCGTCCAGCTCCAGCCATCTCCTGCCCTGCACTGGAAAGGGGACACGACAACCAGCCGGGTGTCTCCCTGGGGGGAGGTCCCGCTGTCACCCAGGGGGGGCTGCCCTGAGCCTGGGGTGCTGAGCCCCCAGCTGGTACCTTGAGAGTGAAAATCCTCCTCGAAGCATCTCCTGTTGGTGCTGAGCTCGGGCTCCTCGGTGTAGCTGTACAGCTCTGGAGGAGAAAGGGGTCAGCAGGGACCCGGGGGAGTTTCACCCTCCTCCTCATCACCAAATTCCTTGTGAGGCTCTGAAACATCCCTACGCACCCGAGGAGACGTGAGGCAGAGACCTAAGCTTGTCCCTGAGCCCTTCTGTACCTCCAAGGGCCATCTTAGAGCCACCCAACGCTACCAAATTCATCATTTTCATCGCCCAGTCCGGGCTGGGCTGTTCCCACGCTCCTGCCCCCAGCAACGGTGCTCAAGCTGCGTTTGCCATTTCATAGGGTTGGGGTTTGAGTTTTTTTTGCAGGGGGGAAGTAATTTTTCTGTCCCAGTTAGGGCAGTTTGCAAAGGGAGGGACCACAGGAGCACCCAGGCGAGACCTGCCCTGATTTCATCCCCAGCGGTTCGGGCATTTTGGGACCTGCAAAAAGGGGGCTGGACTTGGAGGCACACGATGTTGTGCCCATTCCTGTACAATTCCTACCTGTTTCTGTACAATTCAGTCCTACAGTGCTGAGCAGCACCACGGGGGGGGGGGGGAACTGAAACGGTCCTGCAAAGGGAGGAGGAAGGACCCATCGCAGAGCACAACGTGCTCGAGCCCGGCCAGCTCGTGCCGCTGAGGCACACGGCGCTAAAAATAGCCTCGAGATACGCCGGTCCCCGAGGGTTACGGTGCCGAAGCAGCCGGAGTCGCTGCGTGGCAGGAAGATACGGGAGGAGGACTCGACCCACCGCGACGCCCGCGATAAAGGGTGATGCTTCCCAGCCTGGGCTGTGCCCACCCCCCCTCCCCTCCAGGCCTGGCTTCACGCCCGGGGTAATTCGGCGCGTGGGGTAATCCCCGTGCCCCCACATGTCCCTTTTGCTCGTCCCCGGGGAGTGAGTGGCTCTCTATTAATAAATCCCTCTTGCTCTATTACCGCAAGGATGATACCACTCGATATCCATCCCCCATCCCACTCGCCTGACTCCCCGAGGGATTTTATTTTTTTTCCCTCCCCGGAGGGCACCTATTAATAGCAACGCAGCACCCAAACCCGCCGCTTCACCTGC